AGAGAGAGAGAGAGAGAGAGAGAGAGAGAGAGAGAGAGAGAGAGAGAGAGAGAGAGAGAGAGAGAGAGAGAGAATCAGAATCAGAATCAGAATCAGAATCAGAATCAGAATCGTTATTTATTACACGCTCTGGGACAAGTCCCCTAAAGCGTGAGAATGTAATAACAAAAATACTATAAAAGTAAGACTATATGTAAGAGCGCAATTTACAAATTATTTATAAGAGTGAAATTACTATAAAAGTATGACTGTAAGTGAGATCGCAGTTTACAAATATTTACAAAAGTGAAGTTTCTATGAAAGTATGACTGTAAGTGATCGCAATTTACAAATATTTATAGGAGAAAGAGTGAGCATGATTATGAAGGTATAAAGTGTGTATTATACATATAAAATGAAATGAAAAACAGAATCGATAAATCCCACCCGATGTGCCGATTACCATTTCGCATAATAATCTGTAGACAATTGACAGATATTTGATAACCTAGTACTACGACGGTCCAAAAGTTCTTTTTTGTCTATTATCGTGCCGTTCCAGCATATCGCAGATGCTCTAGTAGCCTACACCTAAATTCTTTTATTTCTCCTACTTCTCGCAGCTGCGTTGGCAGACCGTTCCAGAATTCCGCGGCAAAACTACAGAAAGACCGTTTATAGAATTCAGTTCGGCATTGTGGTAGGATCAATTTTTCCCCCGGTGTTCTGGTGCCCCTACACGTTCTGTCACTTCTAAACTCAAAATTGTTAAAAATTGATTTTGGTTTTTTCTTGTTGATTATCGAAAAGGTGAGACATCCGACGTGATATTGCCTTCGAGTCTCGACTTTAAGCCACCCCAATCTCTCGAAATATGGTGTTATGTGCTCATCCCAGCCGACATGAAAAATAAATCGCATGCACCTGTTGAAGGCTCTCTGCAAACGACAGTTTTGCTCTCGTGTAATATTAGTCAACACCACGCAGCAGTAGTCAAAAATAGGAGTTATCAGGGTTTGAATGAGGCGCACTCTCAGTGTGTCCGGTAAAAGATGTCTACAAAGTTTCAACTGGTGGAGCGTCGTATTGACTCTAGATACAGTCCTCGACACATGCCTTTCCCAGTTTAGCGTTCCCGTGATAGTGACTCCTAAGTACTCTACACTGTCAGTCCAACTTATTTCCGTTCCGTCTCCAGGAGATCGGGGAGTGCATCTCTGTCCAGCCCGCTTATGTGTCGCAAAGTGCCTAGTACCATTGCCTTTGTTTTATTTGGATTTATCGCTAGTTTGTTGTCGCTAGCCCATGTTACAACACTTTCGATATCAAGGTTGAACCTTCTTATGGCTTCGTGTATATATTTTGGCTCTTCATGCATATATAGTAACAGATCAACCGCATAAAAATGGTATTTACAGTGTCGGAGCACCGAGCTAAAGTCCCTCAGATAAAGTGTAAAGAGAAGGGGTCCAAGTACGGAGCCCTGCGGCACCCCCCTCTTAACAGGCAGCTCACTCGTCAATTCGCCCGTTTGAGGATCACGAACGGCCTGTCCCCTGCCCGTAAGATAGGAGTGAATCCATAGCAGGGTTGTATGTGCAAAACCAAGTCTGCTGAGTTTTGTTAGTAGTTGTTGATGACATACGTTATCAAAAGCCCTGGAGAAATCGAAGAAAACAGCGACAGAGATCATTCTTCGATCAGCTGCACACCTTATGTCATCAATAACTCTGACCAGTGCTGTCTGTGTTGAGTTATCTCTTTTATAAGCTGACTGAAAAGGATCTGCCAAGTCACGCTCCTCAAGATATTTCACTATTTGATCAGCGGCTATACGTTCAATCACTTTGGAAATTGCACATAATATCGATATCGGTCTGTAGTCATTAAGCGTCTTAGGAGTCTTGATTTTAGGTATGGGGCATATAATTGCCGATTTCCAGAGCCCTGGATAGATTCCATTTGTTAGACTATAATTAAGGATGTGTAAGATGGCTGGGAGGACACTGGGTAGCCCCTTGAGGATCACATTTAGCGGTAGCTCATCCCTTCCCACTGCTCCGGACCTGATCCTTCTCAGAGAACTTATGACCTCCATAGGCTCAATATGTTTCCAATAGAATTTGTTATCATTGTATGAGATCTGCCCCAAACTCGCCACTGTGAGTAATTCTTGTGGATCGGTTCCTTTATTATTATTTTGTTTTTGATCAACCAGATGTTCATTGAGTTCTTCCGCAGTGCATGCTAAGCTACCTGATTCAGTCCTTGCCTTGAGCAGTCCGAGATGTCTGAGCTCCTTTCACATCTGGTTTGGTTTTTTGGCATTCTTCAATACCTCATGATAGTGCCCAATTTTAGCCTTGCGAACTGCAATTTGTGCTTCATTCCTTAATTTTTTGTATTTAATGTAGTTTGCTTCCGTTCTCCTTCTTCTCCAGTTTCTTCTTGCCCCGTCTCGAGTTTTCATCAAAGCCCGAACATCCGCTGTTAGCCATGGTGCTGGCAGATGTCTAGGTTGGATGTCTCGGAACGGAGCATGCCTGTCATAGCTGTCAAGGATGTACTTATTCAGGAGCCTGACCTTTTCGTCTATGCACTCGGACTTGAAAAACTCTTCCCAGTCCTTTGTATCTAAGTCTTGTCGGAAATTTTCAAGGTCAAAAGACCTGAAGTCTCATACACGGATAGTGCGCTTTGGAATACGTTGAATCTTAATATTGTATGTGACCTCTATGAGGTCATGTGCGGACAGGAAATTTACATCGCACTGTTTGTAGTTTATCATCTTGTCAGCTCCGTCCAGAATACACAGATCCAAAGTCGTCGAGGATCTCCCGGTGTGATGAGTGGGTGAGAAGGGCACCATGAATAGATTGGTGTCCTCCACAAAGGACTTAATCTGGCACGAGTCAAAAGTGAGTGCTTCTAGATTAGCATTGAAGTCGCCGAAAATAATTGAGTGTCTGTAGTTTACCGACAGACTGGAAAAGACACTGAAGAAATCCGACAGGAAGCCACAATGCGGCGGTCTATATACCACTGCCAGAAGCACCTTAGCGCAATTTTTTATTAGTATCTCTATCATTAGATATTCCGGTTTTCCACTGCATTTATTGTCCGATTGGCACAGAAAGGAAGCATGGAGAGCATTATTGACATAGATGGCTACCCCACCCCCAACCCTTCCAATTCGATCATGTCTTACGAGTTGATAACCCTGAAGTGAGACCATATTATCCGTAACACAAGGTTTGAGCCAAGACTCCGAAATGCATATGCAGTGATACCCCGAGTCTGCGAAGAAATATCGAATCTCGTCCAAGTGTGCCACAAGAGATTGACAGTTCACGTGACAGAGCCTAAGATAGTTGTTTGGATCTCTATCCATAATTCGTGTTGTTGATCC